TAGAAAGTAGCCAGAACCTGTCCTTTAAAGAACGTTTAAACTGGATCTGGTGACACCCTGGGAAGGTCAGACCTTGGTTGTTCTGGGAAATCTGTCATTTCGCTTTGTCTTCAAGACAGAGTCATAGTTGAGTAGCACCTGTGCTGAATGAATCTACTCACCTATACTAGTGAGTTGTAGATGCACTTTTTTTTCCCAGAGTTGAATTACTAACACTACGTGTGCAGGTTTTAGTACAAAGAGCAGGGACTCCTCCTTCAACCTGCATTCGAAGGAAGGAGGCTAGGGAGATCTGAGTGACTGTCGATTTCTAGTCACTGAAAGAGGGGCCAGGGAGTGGGCCCTGTCTGTCTGCGTAAAAGATCCCCAAGTTGCTCTGATCACACCCAGGCCAAAGGAACATGGGAAAAAACTGGGAAGGATGGAGCTCCCGAGGGGGATGTTGGGTGAGTGGAAAAAACCCATCTGTGACTTCCTGCGGGAAATTGCTAGAAGTCCACGTTCCCTTTTGCCTGTCCTCTCTTCCCCCCTCTTCCCCCATCACACATCGACACTGCACAGGGTCCCGGGGGAGAAGGTGGTGAGGCCCTGGGGTCTCTGGCCGGGCCTGCTGGAGGTCACAGAACCACTTGGAAATGGGGTGGGGGGAGAGGGGTGTCAAAGGACTTAAGAGGACGACAGAAATACTTCCTAAAATTTTCTTGGGATTTAGTGTTACGACTACTGCTACTATTATTATTATTGTTGTTGTTATTATTTTGGGCCAATTCTGGGAACTCAACAGGGCCTGGGTGCTGTTGCTGAACTGCTCTTCTTTTTTTTTCTTTTTGGTCAGTTGTGGGATTTGAACTCTGGGCCTGGGCGCTGTCCCTCAGCTCTTCAGCTCAAAGCTAGCGCTCTACTGCTTGAGCCACAGCCCTACGTCTTGTTTTCTGGTGGCTAATGGGAGAAAAGAGTCTCACAGATTTTCCTGCCCAGGCTGGCTTTGAACTACAATCCTCAGATCTCAGCCTGAGTAGCTAGGATGACAGGCGTGAGCCACCGGTGCCCAGCTGCTTTTGCTTTCTTAAAGCTAGCATACTACCGCTTGAGCCACAGCACCACTTCTGGCTTTTTTTCAGAGTAGTTAATTGGAGATAAAAGTCACAGACTTCTCTGCCCAGGCTGGTTTTGAACTGTGGTCCTCAGATCTCAGCCTCCTGAGTAGCTGGGATGACAGGCGTGAGCCACCAGTGCCTGGCCCTTGTTTGTATGATTATTATTCTTGAGACAGGGTCGTCCTATAGCTCCATCTGACCCGGAATCTCTATGTGATCCATGGACTTGTCCTCCTGGCTCCGCCTCCCCTGTGATACCGCAGGTGTATACCCCCAGGTCCGATCAGGTTGACACCCAAGGTTAACCATCCCAAATGCTAGTTAGGTGAAGCTTTTGAAGGACCAACCCATTCTACTCCTGGCCCCGTTAGATCGGTCAGCAAAGGTCTGGCGTGGCTAGTAGAAAGCTGGCCGGCTTCCGGTCAGGACCGGGTCCTGTCTCACGGCAGGATACCAGGAGTAAATTGGATCATCTGTCCGTGCCATCTCTTGAGAGCATCTGTTTGGTTATGTGTGATTGATAGTCCCAGTGGAGCAAGAAGCTACGCAGATACGACTTCGCAATCTAATTGCGAAGTGCTCTGCGGATGTGATTACAGAGACTTTTACTGGAAGAGCTTAAAGAGAAACAGAGCATAAGCCCTGTGGCCGACAAGAACTACTGCTGGGCATCCTGCAACAACTCCTTCACGCTGCATCTTGGGAGATCTTGCCCCAAATGGCAGACAAGAAGATCCTGAACTCCGCTTTCCTCTCCCTCAACTGCCTGTGCCTGACAGTTCACTTACAGCTCATACCTCTGTTTGGTGCTATGTTTATGTTTATATATCACATTTGTGTGTGTGTGTGTGTGTGTGTGTGTGTGTGTGTGTCAGTGGGGCTTGAACTCAGGACCTGGGTGCTGTCCCTGAGCTCTTCAGCTCAAGGCAAGCGCTCTACCCACATTGAGCCACAGCACCACTTCCGGTTTTCTGGTGGTTCATTGGAGATATAAGTCTCATAGACTTTTCCAGGCCAGGCTTGGCTTCGAACTGGGAAACTCAGATCTTAGCCTCCACAGTAGCTAGGATTATGGGCGTGAGCTACTGGTGCTCTGCTAAGTTAACAAATTTCAAATATTCATCAGCTTTTATATGTAATCTGTTTTGTGCTGGGCACCGGTGGCTCACACCTGTAATCCTAGCTCCTGGCAAGACTGTAATCGGGTGGACCGTAGTTCTGTTCCAGTCTTGGCAGAAAAAACTTTCAAGCCTACCAGGCTTATGCATAGCTTGGCAGAAAGCAAGACCCTGTCTCAACAGTAACCAGCAAAAAACAAGGCTGGAGGCATGGCACAGCTGGCAGTGGCACTTCCCCCCCCAGTTCGTCTTTGGGGTCCTGCTCTGGGCTCCTTCCCGCCATTGTATCTTCTGCCCCAATACTTAGGCCTCCGGTATTTGAGAACAGGAGTCATATTGTCCCAGTGCCCAGGACTCTGAGCTCATGATGAGGTGCACAGATGGGGTATTGCTAGTAGAGGCTGTGGCCTATTTGTGGAAGAAGGGCACAGAAAACTCTGACCCTGAAGAGAATAATAGCACCTCTCTCCAGCTCCTTTAAGAAGCAGACAGGAGCTGGGCGCCTGTGGCTCACACCTGTCATCCTAGCTACTCAGGAGGCTGAGATCTAAGGATCATGGTTCAAAGCCAGCCCAGGCAGGAAAGTCTTATCTCCAAGGAACCACCAGAAAACCAGAAGTAGTTCTGTGGCTCAAGTGGTAGAGCATTCACCTTGAGCTGAAGAGCTGAGGGACCAGCGCCCAGGCCCAGAGTTCAGGCCCCATGACTGACCAAAAAAAAAAAAAAAATCAGACACGAACAGAAAACAAATGAACACCCCCTTCCTCCAGCCAACTCTGTCCATCCTCACTCCCGACGTACTTGTCAAGAAAGACTCTCTCATTCATAATGATGCTTTTCAGACAGAGCTAGGCATTTGGATGTTAGACATTAATTTAATATGGAAGAGGATGTGCAGACTCAGAGCTAAATGGAATTGGAAATGTCAGTCTAGAGCCAGGTCACCAAACATTTTCCTGATGTTTTTTCTCTCTCTATATATATATATCTATATTTATATGTATATCTATATCTATCTATAGATATAGTTATAAAGAGAGATCTCTCTCTATATAAATATATACACACACTAATATTTAGTATATATACTATATATAACTATATATTAGAATAAATATTAAGCCAATATTTGTTGCTGCAACAGTAGTAAAAACTAAACAGCTGCAAGGAACAAATAAATTACATTGGAACTATGGTACTTTTTATTTTGTGTGTACTCCACTCCATTATTGTATCGGATTGACTCTCAGCATTGACTTTCTCTTGTATGCCTTAAAGCTACACTTTCACGAAGTTTCTTTCCTGGCACTTTAAGTGTTGCCTGTGAAGGGTTTACTAATGTGTCAAATTAATTAAAGTTATACTACCTTCTTCATGTTATTAAAAGTATGGAGTGGGATAAACACGAAGTTTTTTTTGGCACCTTGAGAACAGTATAATTATACTGAAATGGAATTTGATTATGTCCTAATATCTCTAAAGATACTTTTTCAGCTCTATATTATACATATATTATGCACAATAATTACCAACTTAATAAGACTATTGCTGGGAGTTTTTATGTAAATTTAACGGGTTTTAAATAAGTCTCAGTTACATCAAAACCTTTTTATTTTACTCCCTTACGCATAGTATTTTTGTACACAACTCATTTAGGTTCCAGGGATATTGTATATGTACTAGGCCAATGTAAGATCTTCATGAATTAATAAACCTATTTTTCTCAGTACTAGGGTTTGTACCCAGGGTCTTAATCTTGCTCAGCTTGCTCAACTAGTGCGTTAACACTTGAGCCATGCTTCCAAGTCTGGCATTTTGCGGGTTCCTTAGACATGGAGTCTCATCTTTTTTTGCCCTGGCTGGCCTCGACTTGATTATTGAGTGGAACAAATTTTTTTTCTTTTTCTTTTTTGTCAGTCGTGGGGCTTGAACTCTGGGCCTGGGTGCTGTCCCTCAGCTCTTCAGCTTGAGGCGAGCGCTCTACCATTTGAGCTACAGCGCCACTTCCGGTTTTCTGAGTGGTTCCTTGGAGATAAGAGTCTCACAGACTTTCCTGCCCGAGCTGGCTTTGAACCGAGATCCTCAGATCTCAGCCTCGTGAGAAGCTAGGATGACAGGCGTGAGCCACTGGTGCCTGTCCATTTGTATTTTAAATTACAAATGCCATGTTATTTAGTGCTATGCTTTTATGCAGTCATATTTAAAAAGCTCATAACTGAGCGGGGCGCCGGTGGCTTACACCTGTCATCCTATCTACTCAGAAGGCTGAGATCTGAGGATCATGGTTCAAAGCCAGCCTGGACAGAAAAGGCCCTGTGAGACTCTTAACTCCAGTGAACCACCAGAAAACGAGGTGACACGGTGGTAGAACACTCGATACTCAGGGACAGCACCCAGGCCCTGAGTTCAAGCCTCAGGTTTCTCTCTCTCTCTCTCTCGCTCTCTCTCGCTCTCTCTCGCTCTCTCTCACACACACACAGATTGCAGTCAACTTGTTCATTGAGGCACTGGTAGAAGACGAAAACTTGGGGAACAATGTGGAAGGAGCTGGATTTGTCCATAATGGACTGGCAGTAGCCTAGTGTACAGGGTGTCCGTTTGTGGTTATAACTCAAAAGAGGAAAGCAGAGACAGCCACCAGGGGCGGAACGGGCCACAGTGACGTGGATTCCTGTAGCTCACCCGCGTGGGTGGCGCTGGATGTCCACAGAGGCCATGAAGAAGGAAGGTTTGGAGGGAGAGGCCCCAGAGTTTCTTAGTGACGTGTGGCCTTTCTTGTTTTCAGCATGCACTCCTGGCCTTAAAGTTCATCCTGGCCTTTGCCATCCCTGACAAACCCCGCCACATCCAGATGAAGCTGGCCAGACTGGAGTTCGAGTCTCTGGAGGCCCTCAAGCAGCAGGTAAGAGCCAACGGGCCTGAGGATGGCCAGCCCGGCCCCTCCATTCCCTTCCCCACCACCTGGCACACCTGCACATGCGCGTGCGCACACACCCAAGCCTGAACGATAACGAGCAACCCGGCTTCAAGGAATAAAGTAATCAAAAACATCCAAGCAGTCCCAGCTACTCAGGAGGCTGAGAGCTGAGGATTGTGGTTCAAAGCCAGCCCAGGCAGGAAAGTCAGTGAGACTCTTAATCTCCAATGAACCACCAGAAAAGCAGAAGTGGCGCTGTGACTCAAGTGGTAGAGTGCTTGCCTTGAGCTGAAGAGCTGAGGGACAGCGCCCAGGCCCTGAGTTCAAGCCCCACGATCGACAAGATACCAGAAGCCAGGCAGCCAGAGTGGGAAGCTCTGCTGGTTACCTTAACCACGCAGCCCCCCTGTGACGGAAGAACTAAGAAATCCAAGTCACCGCCGAGGCCGGTGTGTTCTTACTTTGAAGATTAGAGGGCCAGGCACCAGTGGCTCAGGCCTATGATCCCAGCGACTCGGGAGGCTTAAGATCTGAAGACTGTGGCAGGAAAGTGACAACCCAACAATTGAAAGTAACACACGATGACTCGCACTTAAGAAAGCGTAAATTCTGCCGGGCGCTGGTGGCTCACGCCTGTAATCCTAGCTACTCAGGAGGCTGAGATCTGAGGATCACAGTTCAAAGCCAGCCCGGGCAGGAAAGACTGTGAGACTCCTATCTCCAATAAACCACCAGAAAACCAGAAGTGGCGCTGTAGCTCAAGTGGTAGAGCGCTGGCCTTGAGCTGAAGAGCTGAAGGACAGCGTCCAGGCCCAGAGTTCAAGCCCCACGACCGACCAAAAAAAACAAAAAAAAGAAAACGTGAATTCAAGCACCCAGAACCACCCACGTTTTACTCATGTGTGGAAAGTGGCACTAGCTAGCTGTGACTGGGTGTGGGAAATGGCCTTCTTTATCATCAAGGATTGGGCAGAGGTGTAAATTAATTGCCATCTTTCTGAAGTGCTGTTGAAATCACCCCGCAGCCCCAGACTACTTTTGCAAAGATGACGCTTGCATTTGCATCATACCAAAACATAGTCTCTGGAACATTTACTTAGCAAACATCTGGAGGCAGTGAACTTTCTCTGTAGGAGACAGGTTAAATAAACGATGGCACATCCCCATTATACAATTCTATGATCCTGTTTTGTGTGCCAGTCCTGGGGCTTGAACTCAGAGGCTGGGCACTGCTTTTGCTCAAGGCTGGTGCTCTACTGCTTGAGCCACACAGCGCCACTTCCAGCTTTTTTTTTTTGGCTGAAGAGTGACTTTCTTTACATCTCTCTGAGCTGCTGGCTTTCGGGTATAGCTTATTGTCTTGTGTTTCCCAGGATGCTGAGGACTGAGCTTTAGTCTAGGATTTCAGCTGCTTCTCTGCACCTTTAACCAGGTGTCTTTGGTGCTGGCATTTACAAATGACAGGAGAGAGCCGGGAAGGTGGCTCAGTGGTAGAGTACTTGCCTTGCATGCACGAGGCCCTGGGTTCGATTCCTCAGCACCACATAAGCAGAAAAAGCCGGAAATGGTGCTGTGGCTCAAGTGGTAGAGCGCTAGCCTTGAGCTGAAGAGCTGAGGGACAGCGCCCTGGCCCAGAGTTCAGGCCCCACGACTGACAAACAAAGATGACAGGGAGTCTGTGAGGAGGCTGGGAAGAATGCTGGCTGAGCAAACAGCAGAAAGCCAGGACGGTTGGATGCCTCCATCCTAGTGAATTCAGATCCTCGTGGCTAACTTCCCGCCTTTTTCCCTTTGAGATCTGGGCAGTGTGGTTCAGCTCCGTTATCTCAGAGTGTGTTTGGGAGCAAATGAGTTTGTTTACCAGAGAGAATCTTCTTTTTCTGTTGGTTGTGGGGCTTGAACTCAGGGCCTAGGGCGCTGTCCCTGAGCTGCTTTTTGTTCAAGGCTAGCGCTGTACCACTTGAACCAGAGCGTGACTTCTGGCTTTTTCTGTGTCTGTGGTGCTGAGGAATGGAACCCAGGGCCTCATGCATGCTAGGCGAGCACTCTACCCCTGAGCCACCTTCCCAGGCCATATTTCAGGTGTTGTTCAAAGGAGATAGTATGGCTTGCATGAAAGCCACTCAACTAGACATAGATATCTGACATGAGGTGGGGAGCCCTAGGCTAGGTCAGGCCTGGCTGACAAGGTTTGGGGGAGCCAGGCAGGCTTTCCCATGGCCACCCGCAGTGCCCCCAGGCCCTTGGAGCTGCCCTCCTTCTTCCAAAGTCATGGCCACTCCGTTCAGATGATACACAGGGGCTCCTCAGGGTGACAGGGATCATCTGGGGCGGCTGGTTTGGGGCCCCAGGAAAGAGGCAGAAAAAGGAGATGGAGGGGCCCATCTGGGGGGACGTGGGGGGAGAGACATGACGGCGGGGGGGGCATTTGGGGTACCCACTCACCCTGCGTTTCTCCGCAGCAGGCACAGCAGGTAGCAGACGACCTGAAGGAGGCGCAGGCCGGCGGGGAGGCGGCCTGCTGAGGGGAGGTCGGCAGCAGCCGAGGAGGAGGAGGAAACAGCGGCCCTGGCCCTGAGTTCGGCGGCCTCAAGTTGGCACCACGGGGAGGTGGGGGGGGGGAGGTCTGCAGCCTTCTGCCCGTCCACGCACCCAGCCTTTGGACCGCAATTAAAGACCCCCATCCTTGTCTTCCTGTCCTCCTCTCCCCACCGCGCCGCCCTTCCCACATGGCCACTGGGCCCAGATCTCTTCAGGTGGGCTGCCCGTCGCAGGGGGTGGCATGGACTTGAACCTGGGCTCAGACCGGGGTGGGGGGTGGGGTGGAGGGGGGGAAGGGCAGGGGACATTTGTGAGCAGGGTGTCAGTGCTCCAGGCCCCAGGGATCCATGGGTGGCCACGATGATCACCAGGTACCAAGCCCTGGGAGCTCGGGTGGCTAAGACATGGGTGGAGGGCGGTGACCCCAAAGTCTCCAGGGAACAGGTCCCAGGAACATGGGGCTCTACCTGCACCCCACACCCCACAGGACCACCACCCCAGTCAGCCTCAGTGTGGGGGGCACACGGAACCCCAGCTCCTCCCTGGCCCAAGCTCACCCCCCACCAGCAGCTCCCATCTCCCCCCACCCCCTCGTAGCTTCTCGGGGGGAAGGAGAAGAGGGGAGTGTCAGCCCACAGCATGAGAGGCCCGCACCCCTTACCTGCCCTTGGCTGGGGTGCTGAGCTAAGGGCCTGCAGCCTTGAGCAGCAAGGATGGGGGGGATCAGAAGGGGGGATCAGGGCACACACGCCCCGGTTCTGGAAGATGGAAGATTGCAGGCATATGTACCCACTGAAGTTCCTTAGACGGATTCCTTCCAGAAAAAGTCTGTATTTTCCTAACTACTCCTGAAAAAATCACATTACTCTATACTCCTGGAGGCTAAGACTGAAATTGGGGGCGGGGGGGGGGGAAATCACTGTTAATTGAAGAATGATTAAAGAAGTTCTTCACATCACTTAGGGGACCAGTAGTTAATGACATTTCTGGACTTGGGGTTTACTCACCAGAAGAGATGTCAGGAGCCTTTCTTATGGTGTCATGATGTCATGGTATTTGGAATTTTGTCCAGTTGATGTAAGGTGGTTTGCCCTTCCTCTTGCCCAGGGAATTCGGGGAGGGAAAGGGCTGGTGGTGTGTGGAATGGATTTCTATTTGGTACCAGTTCAAACAACAACCCTATTTTTCCACACAGCAGGAGTTGAGACCAAGACTGACTGGAGATTTCAATCTCCTCTACGCTTTGGGTGACAGTTCTCAAGTTGCTTAACATTGCAGTCATGAAACTAGGTACTGGTGGCTCCTAGTTACTGACTCAGGAGGCTGAGGACTGACTGTCACATTTTTGAATTAGCCCTGGAGAAAATCACCTCTCCAGCCGGGCGCTGGTGGCTCACACCTGTCATCCTAGCTACTCAGGAAGCTGAGATCTGAGAACCAGGGTTCAAAGCCAGCCCAGGCAGGAAAGTCTATGGGACTCTCATCTCCAATAAGCCACTCAGAAAATTGAAAGTGGCGCTGTAGCTCAAGTGGTAGAGAGCTCGCCTTGAGCTGAAGAGCTGAGGGACAGCGCCCAGGCCCAGAGTTCAAGCCCCACGACTGACCAAAAAAGAAAAAAAAATGGCCTTTACTTTTCCAACAAATAAAACTAAGGTAACAATTGTAGGTCGAGGTGTAGAGCTTCAAATAGGCTTGGGAAATCTGAACGAGAGTGTTAGGGCCTAACATCTTCTATAAATCTGTGAGTGTTTACTATATTTAAATGCTGTGTGTTTGGTGAATATATATTCACGACTGTAATGTCTTCTTCATAGATAATTCCCTTAATTTAGATGTAATGTCCTTCTTGTCTCTTCTGATTCTCATATGAACTCTCTTTTTATCAGATAACAGTGTGGAGACTCCTGCCTTTCTTACAGGATATAATTGCATGGAAGATTCTTTTCCACCCCTCCACTCAGATTTGCATTGATCTTTGACTATGAGTTTATTAGAGACAACAAATGAGTGGATCTTGTTTTTTGATCCAGTCTGCTGCTCTAATCTTTTATAACAGCCAGAGTTTGGCCCCTCGACTTGTTTCTCTGAATCAATCCAGCAGTCCCATGATCAACATCTAGATTCCCTTCTCCCTCACACTATTTTTGTGGCCAGTCTTGGGCCTTGAACTCAGGGTCTGGACTTTGTCCCTGAGTCTCTTTGTGCTAGCACTCTACCGCCCCACTTCTGGCTTTTTTTCTGAGTAGTTGATTGGAATCCATCTACAGAGGAGGCGTTGTTCTTCTCTGACTTAGATCTGAAGAATGCACCCTGTATTGCTCCCATCCTATTGTGTGCATGATGCCCTTCCTGTCCACTCCACCAGCGCCTCCACTTCTGCCAATAAAGGCCGTAGGTATGGACTACAGCCTGTGCTACCTGGGGTGGACTGTGATCTTCACCCCATGGCTGCAACTTTAATGTCCCAGGTGCATTTCCCTTAAATTGTTACTGGAGAATGTGGCAGATCCTTCAGAATGTCTAATGTCACCCTTCCTCCAAAGGACAGAGAAAAACACTGACTTAATCTGTTCCTTTTATTGAGTATGTGCCCTGGGATTCGAACTCAGGGCTTGGGTGCTGTCTCTTAGATATTATGTTTCTCACTTCTAACACCTTACTGCTTGAGCCGCATCTCCACATCTGGCCTTTGGGTGGTGAGCTGTTTGAAGGGGTCCCAAGGACTTTCCTACCTGGGCTGGCTTCGAACTGTGATTCCCACATGTTCACTCCCCCAGATAGCTGCAATTCCAGGCATGCCCTTGGTTTCCGCTTGTCTTGAGTAACGAGAATCTCCTGCCAAGTGCCAAGCTGGGGACACGGAAGAAGTCAGGACAGTAAGAAGGGCGACAGGACGCTGATGAATTCCCAGCGGAGCTTAACCAGGCATGCGCACACAGCATTCACTCAATACACCGGAGAACTCACAGCGACAAGGCACGCACATCCGTCCACCTCCTTATCCTCCACAGCCCCGCACTCCTAAGAAAATGTGTTCCCCCTTTTTTGGGGGTGGGTGGGTGTCCATTTTCCCAAATGAACTGTTACCTGTGTGTGTAGACGAGTTACACAAGGGCCACCCTGCCTGCTTCCAACGCAGTGTTTGCCCATGTGGCCTGCTGAGATCCAAGGGGACAGGTTGGACAGTTCCAGAACAATCGGCGTGTAGACTTGACATCCACTGGGGGGCTGGTATGATGTCATGATCTATGTCATAAAGAGGCTGATGTCAGTTTTGAACCTTGACCCTCAGGATGGCTTTTGTGTGGCTCACGGGGGCTCAACATCTCCCCTCCACTTATCCTCAGCAAAACACACCCAGAGGTCTTGGAAGAGAGCCTGACATCAAGGCCATGACCGGCAGACACACAGGCCATGGAAAACTCTCCGCTCAAGACCCCTCTCCCACCCCATCTCCTTTGCCACCGTTAACTGTGCCTCTGTGGTGAAGATTATTTCATCCTCACCAGGATTCTCTCTCCCATCATGGCTGGAAGAAAGGAAAAAGGGAACAAAGGTGAAATTCAACCGACCGACAGGTTTTCACGGGACAGAAATCCTGGGAAGGGAAACCAAGTCTCCTCCACTCTGGCTGAAGGGAAATGGCGCAGCTTCTTTAGAGCTTGGATTCCTTCATCTGCTCGGAAGAAAAAGTGAAGTCCTGGGGGGCAGATGGCAGTGGAATGAGATGGAGGCAGCGTGGAGAGCGATCTTGTCCTGAAGCTTTGAGTTTCTCCTTTGCGGTTCTTCAAGAGGGAAGACCACGGCGAAGGAAGAAGGAAACTGGTTTCACCTCCATCCACCAGGAAATCAGCCAGGGTGTCAGCACCAACTCTAAAGTCAAACGTGTTTGCCCGAGTCACTGTGGTAATTCCAGGAAATTGTCCCCTGAAGGATAAATCAAAGAGTATGAATTGTAGAGGATTATTACTCATGATTAGTCTTTTCAGTTTGTTAAACCTTCTTGGCTTCATAACAAGAGAACAGGAAGGATTTGTAACAAGTCCAATGTAAATCCAACCACTTCTCGATAAACTTTCTAGATGCATAGATGTCCACAATGAAAACAGAAAAAAAACCCTTCAAATTATAAGCTGTCCTTTGAACCTAAGCTATATCAAAAAGCAATCACATCCATAGAAACAAAAATGAGAAGATACAATTATGAAACAGTATTAAACGATGTCAACACAGGATGGCAGGTAGGGGTTTATGTGCAAATCTACATTGTTCATTAGTATAAGTTACTTTGTGAAATGTAGGATTTCACATAAGGTACTTGGAATCTACTTATCTTGGTTTGGAGAACATGTCTTACATAACACACAAACCCAACAGCTCTGATTGCAAAAGAGTGAGAGAAAACCACTTGTATCAAAAGGAATGTTATCTTGAAATAAGGGACATTAAATATAGAGTTGAAGCTTTTTTTTTTTTTTTTGGTCATGAGGCCTGAACTCTGGGCCTGGGCACTGTCCCTCAGCTCTTCAGCTCAAGGCAAGTGCTCTACCACTTGAGCCACAGCACCACTTCTGGCTTTTTATGCTTATGTGGTGCTGAGGAATCAAACCCAGGGCCTCATGCATGCAAGGCAAGCACTCTACCACTGAGCCACCTTCCCAGCCCGGAAGCTTTTAACACTGACTTCAATTATTTGACATGCTGATCATTGAAGCCCTGACCAGCTAATTGTGAATTCAAGCCCTCAACATATACTGTTTAGTATTTATTGACTATTTATTGGCTTAATTACTTGCTACCTATTTATTAAATATATTGGAAGTGAGCTGTGGGTATGTTTGCTCCAGATACCATTAAACTCCAAATCTCCTGCCTCTTCCTTTTAGGAAGCTAATATTATACAAGTCCTACATTTTCTAATTTCACTTACAATCTCCAAAATAGGTTGTCATTTTTTGTTATTGTTGGTCGTGGAGCTTGAACTCTGGGCCTGGGTGCCGTCCCTGGGCTCTTCAGCTCAAGGCGAGCGCTCTACCACTTGAGCCACAGCGCCTCTTCTGGTTTTCTGTTGGTT